AATTGTGGTTGTTTTATCACCAAAACCACTGGTGTCATTTCCCTCTCCTCTTCCACTATCATAATCCAGGCAGCCCTCCTCTGTGACCTGGCTACTACCATCCGTCTTCCTGCTTCTGCTCACATTGTGTCACGTTCCCATTCAAGACCCACAGATGTCTTTCCCTCACATCCAGGTCCCCCATGACCTACCACCTCTGTCCCTCCTCTTTCAGTTATCTTCCCCTTCTGGGTTTTCCTTTGCTGTTTCCTCTGCCTGGAATGTTCTTTCTTCAACTATACACATGCCAACTTCCTTACTTTCATTTAGTTCTCAGCTTAAATGTTGTTCATTCAGTGTCTTTCCAGCCACTTTATCTAAAGTACATCTAAGATTCTTTGTGTCTGATTTGTTTCTTTCATAGTTTTTATGACAACATGCAATTTTTTGGTTTTTGCTCTCTATCTGTGTCCTCCATTAAAGAGCAGGAACCCTCTCTGTCTTATTACCATATCTACTGATACTGAAACATAGTAGTCACTTTAATAGGAATACAGTAAATATTTGTGGAATATGTAAAAGTACAGTGAAATCCAAAACAGCTCTACAAAAGGCTTTACTTGTCATGCAGAACCCATTACTTAAGTACTCCCCACATCACTCCAACATAACCGAAACTACTTTATGAACTATAAACAATACTCAGACAAAAACATAAATAAATTAACGTGTGTGTGTATGTTTAGTGGACAATGGGCAGCATGTTTTCAAAAAGCACTTTTAAGAGTCTATGGCTTTCTTGAGGATAGGCAGCAAATTTGGGTTTGAGCTGAGCAGCTAAGCAGCCACTGCAAATTGAATTCCTTAACTTACATGGCCATAAAGATAATAATCTTTTCAGAAAGGATGATAGTTGAGCCAGAAACCAGTTACCTGCAGTAATTCTTTTGTTACCTCAGATTCACCCTAAAATTATTGTCAGCAGCCTTTTAATTAGAAATCTCATCCTAATGTCAGTGAAACAGAAGACGCAGAATACATGTAAATGAAAACAGGTGTTGCTGGAAAGACTAAGATATGAACAGATGGTGACATTGTCTTTAGCACTCTACATAGATTAGATTTTGAGGATTAATATCAGAATTACAGCAAACATATCTAACCTTATTATTATGTTCACTTTGAGTTTGAGTTTGAGCAAGTAAATATGCATCATATCCTTTTATACCTCTACATTTTTTTTGTATCTCTTCAACAGGACTCTGACTTGAAGAAAACAGTGGATGAAAGTGCCCGGATTCAGAGAGCATACAACCACTATTTTGATTTGATCATTGTAAATGACAATCTAGACAAGGCCTTTGAAAAACTACAGACTGCCATAGAGAAACTGAGAATGGAACCACAGTGGGTCCCAATCAGTTGGGTTTACTGATGATTCAGTAAGGTTAAAAATTAAAATTAAACTTTTAAAAAGTGACTGCAACAAATAAACCTTCTACTGAGAATATACATGCACAGATAGAAGATATCTGCCGAGTCCAGGCATTTTTATTGTGTAGATTGAAATAACAGTACACTATTCTGAATTTTTATATAAAATGTGGTTGGGGAGGTGTACTAATATATAATTTATCTTAATTTTTCTAACTTTTTATGGATAATCTTTCTATTCATATCGCATAAAGAAATGCGTTGAAGCATTTTGTATATGTTTTGATTTAGTATCCTTGCCTTTTTCATCAAAGAAATTTTCAAATCATTCACTCTAACATTGGTCTCACATTTTCACTGTGATAATGAATACTACTTGAAATAGTTTTGTAAAACTGTCATTTAGTTCAGAATTTAACTAGTGAAGGATCAGTTACTCTTAATAGAAGAAAATAGTAGTTATTGCCCTTTCTTATAAATTTCTTACCAAAACAGGATTTTAATGTCAGTGCTATAGCTCAACTACCACCATCTAGATCTGCCATCAGAAGTCTGTTCAGTTCACATCTTTTCATTATTACAGAGATATACAGCTATCCATTTTAATTTACACAGATATATTAGTTTGTCTCTGCATTTCTATCTTTAGTGAAAAATTGAAGAGCAATACCTTGCACTCTCTGATGAGGTTATTCTTTTTATTTGTTGCAGTGACATGCTGATACTAACTAATTTAATATGTACACAGTAAGCTCTGGGGCTGGAAGCAAGGTTATGCAGACTGAGAGAGTGCCTTATCCTGTAAAACCTTACAGCAAGTGACACTTGAAGAAAGTTTATTTATTTTCACATGTAAAAATTCAGCTGACAAAATGAACCTATTACTTTAAACAATTTTTTCATTATGATATGGTCAGCAAATGTATTATGCCTTTGCAAATTTCTGTGATGCTTAATGGTGCCTCTAAGTTTGCAGTTGGAGGTTTTTATGAATGATCAGTATGCTTTTTGAACTGTCATGTGATCCTTAGGGTGCCTGTTTTATTTGTCGTGTTGAGAATCAAATCCATTGAACAATTTACAAAAGTTAGAAATAATTGTCAGCTGTTTTATATATTATATATACACACACACACAAAATATATACATTATATAATATGTATATTATATATGTATTATATAATATATATTAAATAATGTTTTGTGTTTTTTTACATTTCTGTTAAGAAATGCACTTTTTTCATGATTAGGAAAAAAGTTCTCCTTCAGATGTATTTACATAATATACAAACTTCCACATTCACCTCAGTTAATATCTTCCTTTAGGATTCTTGGATGGTAGAAATTCTTCCCAAAACATATTCAGAGATGTGGCTCATTATTAAAGTAAGTTGACCATATTTTATATCGCTGCTAGCTTTTCATTTAAGCTTTTCATATAAACGGTATTCACACTTTAAAGAGTTGGGTGCTTAAATATTGATGGTCATCTTTGGGGATAAACGCCAGACATCTGGCCACTGCACTTGTTTTTTCCCTCACCAAAGTTGTCACAGGGAATGCCAGCTGGGAGGACTTTGAGGGAAGCAAAAATACATCACGATAAGCAGTATTCACACATTGTTTAACATCTTTTTCACAATAAAGCAAAATACCTAAGTTGCTCTATTATTAAAGTTAAAAATCTATAGGTATTTTTTTTTATTCTAGATTTCATAGCCAGAACACAAATTCATGTTCCTTGTTCCAGGACAAGAAATTGGTGACAAAATCAATCATACTCTTTTCATAACTTTAGAAACTTTTAAACCACATTCATTTACACCAAATTCTTGGCTTCTTCAAGCAACATGAATCAAAGCACAGTATCAAGATGATGCCCTATGACAATGTTTCAACACACACTGTATATTTTAAGAGAAAGTTCAGTTCTGCACACTCAGGAAATGTGCTGCATTCTCCAGTGCACCTTCATGCTGCTGCATGGAGCCTCTTTAAACAGCTTTGGGATAATTGTAGCAGCACAAGAAGTTTATCTGTAAAATATTTCAACCATCTTGGTATGAAGGAGCTGACTTTTACACCATGTATATTAGCCTTATGTGCTATAAGGATACATATTATTTAGAAAACAGCCTATACTGAAAGGAATTTTTTTCTATTATAAATGTTATTCCTCATTGACTACTTAATTAATGCACATTAGATTCCTCCTATTGTAAAACGAAATTATGCAGTTTAGTTCATTTCAGTTTAGATGCCAGTGCGGAAAGGAATAAATTTAGAAAAGTTATTGTTTCTCAATGAGTCATTGAACTTGAAACCTAAGTCCCACGTGAACCTGCAGGAACTAGCAGTGCCCTTCTGGGGCTAGAAGTCCCAGAGGTCCCAGGAGTCTTCCTAGATAATGAGTATAGTTATGATCAAGGAAGTGTGAACTTCTTCTCTTTTGGGAAGATCTAAGATAATTAGCTTTACTGAAGAAAAAATAGCTTAAAGTGATGTTGAACAGTCGGTGATAGTTAAAATTTACACACATGTGTGTGCTTTTGGGAAACATGATGTGCCAACACATTAGTGCACCTAAGGGTTCCTTGTGGACAGGTGAGTGTCCACATTTCAGCATTCAGGGCATGACTATATACAACTAAAAACTAATATATATATATATTTTTTTTTTTTTTTTTCAAATGTACAAATAAACATGGAGGTGATGTCCCTGGATATGTCATTTAACCATAACTAGTAAAATATATGTGATGCCCTTCAAGTAGAATTTTCACCTTCATTACAGTCATGCTTTTATATTGCAATCTCTACTTCTGTGATATTTGAATAATATCAAATGTCAAGTATATCAGGACTTTGTTTAGTTCAGCCAACTCTAAGTATACAATTGCTGAACTTAGCATTCTATAATAGAAATCATATTAGAAACTCAGTATGACTGTAGCACTAGTAACATAAACTCTAGATTCTAGAATCTAATAAATTTATTTATAGTAGTCTATAAGGAGAAGTTTCCTTTAAAACAACAGATTATTAAGACAAATTTAGAAAATAACCCAAATTAGCAATAAAATACAATAGCATGACATTAAACAAGGGAGAACCCCCAAAAAGCTGGAATTATCTTTTGGAGGGTAGGCCCTTAATAGTACACTTGGAATTTGTTCCTCCAGGTCACACAATCAACCAAACTTTTTAATCTGAAAGTTTTGATAAGGTTGCATCATGATTTGCAGAAGAAATGATGTGGCAGACAGGTGACTGGTTCTTCCAGTATGACATCACACCTGCCCATACCACGCTGTGTTCAGCAGTTTTTTACCATAAACAGAATGACCTCCATACCCCACCCTCCCTGTTCACCTCATCTCACCCCAAGTAACTTTTTTTGTTTCCTCGGATGAAAAAAGTCCTCAAAGGGAAACGTTTTGCTGATGTGGAAGAGGTAAAACAAAAAATGGCAAAAGCCCTAAAAGGCATCCAAATTGACATGTTTAAAAACTTTTGAGCAGTAGAAAAAGCATCTTGATAGGTGTATTGTAACAAACGAAGAGTACTTTGAAGGTAACTGAAGTTTAAACATGTAAGAATAAATACACAATTTTTTATAAATAAATTTTGGGGGATTTCTGAGTTCCCCTTGTAGGTTAAGACCAGATACTAACTGCTTTGACCATAATATCCCAATGACAATAAAAATTATCCTTGTCTAGAAATTATTATAATGTTATTTATTTTTACTTATAACAAGTGTCATGATCCCAGTGATTGGAGTTGATTTTTAAGATGGATAGCCATAGAGTTAGGTAAAATTATTTTGAATTGGCCAGTACTGAAAATAAAAGTTTTAAAAACTGACCAAAATAATAATTACTTACATTTTACTTTTGTGTTTTCTGAAACAGCACTCCATTATCCAGAAATCACAGGCTAGAGAGCCAATAATTTTATAGTAATGGATCTTTATACTAAATATGGGAAAGGCAGTCCTGAAGTGTTATGTATATAGATAGCAGTTCATTTTTTAAATGTCTGAGTTGCCATATAATATATATATAGCAATGTGTATAATGTGTAAAATTCTCCCAAAGTACGTGAATAAAACTAAATATAGTCACTCATAGTGTTCCAAAATTTTTAATTAATCCCCATTCCTAAGACATTCTAAAACTTGTTTTTAGATTGTTTTAAAAGACTCTGGTTTTACCTTGAAGCTGGTACTAATCTCCTTTCTGAAAAATATATGAGATATTCAGCTCAGAAAATAACCAGTCATTATTATAACTTTCTTAAGGAAAAAGGGAAGAGTTCTGTATGGAAGCCTCTTGGGAAATACTTATTTAAAACTTTGAATAAATATGAGGTATGATTTAGGCTTAGAGATTATGGTACCTGCCCTTATTCCAAAGGATTTACTGTGAGCATTCATGTAATAATAACTGTAATGTATCTGAAGTTCTCAAGAAATTCAATATTTTAAATAACGGGATTACTGTATATAGTACAAATAGATAGTCTTCACAAACTTTAAAAATACATTGACTAATAGTTCAGCATCTGTCAGTTTTTTATGTAAGTACATGTTGTATACCTGAGGACGATGACTATTCTATGATTTTTTTAAGGTAAGGTAATTTTTAAATTGCATTTTTGTTCTAGCTTTTTTCAATTTATATTCACTTTTTAAGTACTTTCCATAATTCATCATGTTTACCTTCTGTGTTCCTGGAATGATTTTTTGAAAAATGCACAGGAATCAAACATGAATCCTTAATATACTAAAAAGTGAAAGAATGATGATTTCTCATTTTTAAGGTAAGAAGCATGGTTTTTGCCACTTTGGCAATACACTGCAATACTTAACATATTCTCTAGTGAGAAAAGTAAAGATGGGGTACTTCTACTGGCTAAGATCCTAATTCTGATGCTATGTGATCTTTGATCAAATTTACATCTCCCTTTGCCTTTTCTATTCCACTTGTTAAACAGGGCTAAGTTAACATTAATATTTGTCCTCACCTTAAATTATAAGATGAAATTTGTAACTGTGATGTGATAAATGCTAAACTGAAAATCCTTATTAGGCTACTTTATCTCTTATCCTTTCATTCTTTTAACATGTACCTCCTTCTGCAGTAATGCAGTCAGTGGTGAACACCATTCAGGAATCCTACCTCCAGCTCTGAAGCAGCCTCAAGGCAATTGTTCCAGCCTGTAAAATGGTCTGTTCTGCTCTGTTAGTGGTCCTGGTCAAAAGATTCCTTTTAATTTAGAAACCCATTTTAAGTACAAATCCTTGCTGCCAACCAGACCACTCGCAAGTCAAATAAAATTTGAGCAAGCATTCCAGCACTCTTTTACATCAAAACAAACTCTGATCTTTGCTCTGTAAAGCTGTCCCACTTTATCCTTATGCCTGAAATTGACCACTGCAGCCCTCTTGTTTTACCCATAGCATTAAGTGTAAAAGGCATCTGTTTCTTTATAGAAACATTCACAATGAGGTCCAATTAGTGAACCTTGCAAAATCCAGATAGTAATCCATTGCAGTTATTATTTTCTCTTTCTAATCCCTTCTCAGTCACTGACTGTAATGCAGGGATGTGAGAAATCTGACTTATCTGCACACACAAAAGTCAAAAGCAACAATTCTCCCCACTTCCCTCCCCCCCCACCTCTTTCCCCCGGCTAGCTCTTACTGTTTTCTAATTTCCAGCACAAACTGAATGAACACATCTATAGCTAATACAAATGCTGCCTATAACATGGAAGATTAAATGACTTACTGCTTATAAAGCAACCGTCTTTGAGTCCCATGAAATAGATATTGTTGCTACCACAAAATAAGGTCTTATTTTAAAAGTTGGAAATAGATGCCTTTATTGCACTTCAGCCACTAGCAAACCAGGAGTAGCAACATAAAAGTATGGCAGCCACATCTGAGATTTGGCTTTCCTTCTGTCATTCAAGATGGCCAGGGCACTTGGAGGAAGCCTAATAAACTCACTTAGAGAAGAAAAAACGATAGCATTAAAAACTCATCAGCTCTAAACCACAACAGTAAACCAGCAGTCCATTGCCACTTAAAACATGTGGCTTTCATCTTATTCTTCAGTAGGAGTTGGGGACAGTAGTCCAAGTGACATGGCTTTGAAGATATCAAGCTTGTCCTGGTAAACATGGTCCAAATGAGAAACACCGTTGCCTTTTTAGGTATAACAAGATTTCAGGCACAGCTCAGCTACATCTGTACTTGAAATACAAGGTAAATATTTCTCTTGACTGTGTAACCTCTTAAAAAGAAACGCTGGCTGGCTCCTGTTTCTTCAGTAACATTGATCTTTTTTTTTTTTTTTTTTTAAGAAGTGATTCCTTGGGTTCTGTTGTAGAAGAATGAACACTAGAGTTCAGCAACAAGTGCAATTTCTACATGTTGTGTGGAACTCTGCTAGAGCTACAAGGGGTGTTGGATGTGAAAACCTTGCTGTGGGAATTTTTTTTTTTTCCAGTTTGTTTTGGTATATTTTTCCTTTGAACACAGATGCATGCTTTTTTTAACCTCTAGTCTTTGAAGTGATTGTGAAGAGAATCTTTTTAATGGAAGGCAAAATGCTTGTTAGCAATCTAAAAATCAAAGCTGAACAAGCTGCTTAAGTAAGTTGCTGATGCAGACATTTAAAAATAAAGAGTAATTGCTACTGCTTTCCAGGTAATTGTATTACTAGTTTCTGTATAAAAGAAACATGACTGCTGTTCTTGTATAAATAAAATTTGCCTTCAGTACAGTTAAGTATTCGTTTTTCAGAAACTGTCCCTATAAATCTTTTCACATATTTCCATATACTGTCCAAAACAAAAATTACTGAAATGTTCAATCTGTAGAGATTAAATACTCCTAGTAAAATATTTTTGTATATATAAAGAAATAAATATTTACTATTGGAAAAATGCAGTGTTTCATTTATAGGTAGAACCGAGGTTTAGAGTTTGTTTTGTTTTTGTTTTTAGTGGAGGATTTCAGATTAGCTGTGGTAATTTCTTTTAAGTGCTAATAGTCTTTGTAAAAAGCCCTTAAGATCATTTAGTTTTTCCCACCTAAATAAACATACATTTATCACTTGCCTCTTTTACTCAACAAGGAAGCACTAACCATTGTCCTCTCTCCCAGGCTGAGAGATTCAAGGGGTTTCAAAAACAACACACTCAAGGAAAGAATTTCAGAGTTGGTTAAAATATAAGATCAAGAAAACAAGACATGGGTTGCTCTGAGGAAACCCTAGTAGAAAAGACAATGAGCCGAACCACCGTGGCACGTGGCTCAGTCCTGCAGCCTACAGTAAGGGGAGGTGGGCCCACCAGGTGGCCAGAGAGATGAAGGTATGGCTGTGGGGGCCTGTTGGAAGCCCCTTTTCAAAAAGTGCCCTTTACAAGAGGTTGCCCAAGCTAATTCCCGGGAATCCATACCTCATGCTTAAGAAGTTACTAGTAGGTCTCCAGAGAATTCGGTGTTAACATTGTTCATCCTTACATCTTATTCTACCCATCTTAATTTTCTATCACTGCAATAACAACCACAAATTTATCATCTTAAGGAAACAAGTTTATCTCAGTTCTGTAAGTCTGAAGTTCGACACAGAAGTCCCCAAGCTAAAATCAAGATATTGGCTGGGGCCTGACTGAATTCTTGAGGTCTAAGGGAAAATCCGTGTCATCCATGTTGTTGGCTACCTTCAGTTCCATGCAGTTATAGGACTGAGGCCCCCATTTCCTTGCTAACTATCAGACTGCTCTCTTATCTTGCACCTACCCCTTCTATCTCCAAAGCCAGAAACAGCACACAGATTCTTTCTTCTGGCCTCACCTTTCCTGCATTTTCTTGAGCCAAGTCTCTGACTATTCTGCCTGGATTATCCAGATAATCCAGGATAATCTGCAAAGTCCCTTCTTGCCACATCAGGTAACATATTCACAGGTGTCAGGGACTAGATCTTGGACATCTTTGAAGGGGACATTAATGCACCAACCATTCTAATTTCAGTGATACTTTTCTGCATCATGAAAGAGAAGTGATCCTCTTTTGTGAATGGAAACATCAGAGTTAAGGTGGCTGGCCTGTGGTATTCTAGGAAATGTCACTCTTATTTACTGTTTTCCAGGTGACCTGAGCTACTAGAACTTGTTTACTAATCTAATGATGGAAAAAAGCATGGTTCCTGATCTCAACCAGTAAATATGGGTACTTCTCTTTTTTAATTAATGAGGAAACAAGATACCATCTAGTTAGAAGAACCCTAGAGGCTGGGAACACCTGTAGCACCTTTTCAGTAGCTCTGTCTTAAAACACAATCCAACATGGTAACTGGCCAGTCTTAGGGCAACTGTGGAAACAACCAATTTCCTCAAATGCCTGTTTGATGGAACCCAAACTTTTAGCACTTACTGGGATGGCTTATTTTCTTCCAGTCTGAAGTCTGTTTTTTAGAGAATAAGACATACAAAATGAAGGAATAGCAGGGTAAAAAAAATCACTGTCTCTAATCCCAACCTCTAAGTCCCTTTCCCTAAAGGAGCCACCATTAGATTTCTTGTGTACTCTTTGAGATTTTCCATGCATATCAATACATGTATTTTTTACACAAGTAGATTAATATTACACATTTTGTTTGTGGTTTCTTTATGTTTATTTCAGAAAACCACACAAAAAGGCACATATAGTGTCATGGCACAATTTTCACGTTGGCATATTTCCAGTGTATGTACAAGGTGCTTATTTTTGCATAGTTGTCACCAGAGTGGGTCACTTTGTATCCTTTTTCCTGCACATATAAGCGTTTCCATAAGGTTAAGTCTCATTTTTATTAGAGGGGATGAAATAGTTATTTGCTTTATTTATTCCTTGTTAACATTCATTAAAATCTGAGAGCAAGAAAGGAAATAAGTGGAGGATGTTGAGATAAAAAGAAGAGGTGCTGAGTACTATGTGTCTCTCCAGCAACTGCCACCCCTCACCCCACTCAGACCAGGTCCCCAGTGGACAGCAACAGGTCCTGTCAGGACACTAGGGAGACAGTCCAAGCCATTTGTAGGACATCAAAATATGATAAAAAGTAAAATATACACAGTTCAAAGCTTCCTTTGATAGAATATGTAGTATTCTACAAATGAAGTACCCAGAATGCACAGGAAATCAACACATTCCAGACGTAGAATTGGTATGTTCATCAAAGCATGGCAAAGGCAAATAAAATTTATCTAGCCAGACCCCTAAGCAGGGGTAGGTCGATATTCGGTTTGTTTTTTTTTTTAAGTATAATTCTTTTCTAGCAGAGAAATATATATACTCTAGTGGCATTTGCAATTCACTTTCAATTACCAAATAACATATAGCACATCCAAAATGTAGCCTCTTTTGTGAAGTGATATTGCCTTCCCACAGCGTTCACAATTTAAAAAGAGTTTTTGGATTAAAGTATCAGACTCTGTTTCCATAAAACAAAGAAAGTGGAAAATGTAAGAAAGTGACAGAGGGACCCATTATTCTGCAGAAAAAAGGTCTGAATCCACACTAAGAACTCGCAACCCTCCTCAGCTCTGTAGGTGCTGGGATCTCACTTGGACACTGGGTCACCAGTACAGGAGGGCCTCTGCTGAGAAAGAAACCATCTAAAGAGTACCTGGTGAGCTGAAACTGAGGCCATTCCTAGCGCAAAAGGTCACCACTTCTTAAACTGTTTTGTCAACTCATCAATCAACTCTTGACATGCATTTGACCTAAACCCCAAAGTAGTATCTTTACAATTCTGAACATCACTAATGTTCCCTGCCTAAAGCACAGAGTCCATTCAGGGTTATATAAAGAATTAGCGGAAAGACGTTAGGGTCCTTCAGGATGACAGCTTTCACAGAGGACTTCAGTCTCTCCAGGCTAATGTCGGCTGAAGCAAACAAGCGCTGCACGATCCCAAACCTTTCGGTGTCTTTCAGGGGAGCCAAGGTTGGGTCTTCAAGATCAGATACTCCATCATCAGTCAGAGCATGAAGCTGAAACGATACATGTAAACAAATTCACAAATAAAATGTTCTAGAGCATCCACATTGTTGGATAGTAATGCAAATCTAGGTAATTCTGGAAAAAAACTAAGTTGTTTTTTATATTCCCCAAATGGAGCAGGAAAACCCTTAAGATGGAACAAGATATATTTGCTGCAGGCCAGGACCTTGGGATTGACTTTATCCAGTTTGCCTAATTATCTGAATCCCATCTCTCTAAACTCTACTTTCTACCATACACATTAACTTGAGTAGATTAGAAAGGTGAGAATGTATCTTTCTTATACACACAATTTATCTGGTTTTTAATTTTAATGAAGATATTAGAACTTAATCTATACTGGGGGTACCAAAAAATGTATACACATTTTAAGCAATGTTATCTATGTATTACTTTTAGTTTGCCGCAATCAGAAGTGTCTGGACGTTAGTGGTAACCACTCCGAGCACCACTTGTAGTTGCAGAAGTCAAACGTGACTTCTATTTATCTTTTGCTATCAGTATATATTGAGTATTACAATTTTAATAGGTTTTTTTCCTTTCTTAAAATGTGTACACATTTTTTTTTGACACCTTCTGTATTTGCACGAATCCTCGAAGGCAGGTGCCGTGTTTTAATTACATGTCCTTCTGTGAGCACCTTTGCCCTTGTTCCCCCTTCCACCTGGAATACTCTTGCTCCGGACTTCTATAGACCTCCCCTTCTCATCACTCAATCGTCAGCTGAAATGACACATGGAAGGGCCTCTCCTAACCTCCTCTCCCTCCATCTGCCCCCAGACCCATAACCCAGCCACTGGGTTATATTCCATCATATTGTCTCACAAACTACCTCTGAAATGAGCTGCTTGATAGTGTTTAGTCTGTCTCCCCTTATGAAGCCCCTGTGCTGCTCATAAGAGCAGGGACTTTCTCTGTTGTGTCCATCTTCCCTGTAGAACACAGATGCTCAACATGTTGAAGGAACATTAGTTCTTTACAGGGGTCACTTTGGCTGCTGCTTTAATTCCAACTTCTCAAAACATCTGAAATATTTGATTTGCTTTTAGGGTTTTGATCCACTGGCTGTAATTTTTTTTTAATCTTTAGCAATTACAGATTTGCCAGATTTAATTTTGAAACAGGCATTCAAGATCAGACTAATAATGTAAAGAGTAAAATTTTAAATAAAAAGAAATGAAGCCCATTAAGCATGTGTGAATTTTAATGGAAGAGAATCCAAAAGAAAAACCCCAGAAATGTTCTGAGACCTGGTGACCTTACTGAAAGTAATATGCAGCTTGTCCACATGACTGGAAAGTAGCCCTCACTGGAATGTGGAAGTACTTGTATGTTTATTCTCCGAATCAGTCTTCTGAATTGACACCTTCTAGATTCACCAAATACAACCAATGCAGTGTAACCACAGGCTTCATGGGACCACTCGGCTCAGACCTCAAGCGGCTGCTTGTGCTTTGGAGAGTGGCATGGGCCTGCCCTTAAGACACAGGCCACACATCCTGGGGGGTAAGGAAGGAGCCGCACCAGTATAGGCTGGAGACAGTCAATAGCACGACCAGCTCCATGTTCTTACTGCACGGTGGGCACCCAGCTTCCTTCTCTTAACATCCACCAACCCCCGTGCCCACAGGCATTTCTAGGTATAAAAGTGTAACAGCGCCCAGGATGGCAGGGTGAGGTGATAGAGTGATCCTTTCTCGCCCTTTTGCCAGTTCTTGGCAAATGTATCAGTGCATCTGACACTTTTCCTCCCCAAAACCCTTCAGAAAACCTCTCTCCAGGCTACTTGGGCCACCAAACAAGCAAAGTCAGGGCTACAGACAGACGTTGGGCCCTGTTCTAAGTAAATCCCTTCAAGAAACGGGATGCTCACATTCCTTCAGGAGGCAGGAGCTTCCCTGTCTTGAGACTCCAACTCAAAAAAAAAAAAAAAGCTGTTGCGAATCTGAAGGGAGGCTGTGTGAAGACGCCCGGGAGGTCTCTAAAGAAAAAGCAGTTCTTTGTCTATGTGGAGGAGTTGCCAAAAGGCGGAGGAATGACTGGTGGGCTTTTGTGCAGAAGCAGAACTCATCCGGTCTGGCACCCCATTGCTGTCAAATGGCTGCTCTTAGAACACAACAGAGCAGAACCTGGGGGCAAGGAAGATGGCAACTCCGTGTGAGCCAGTTGGAGGAGGAGCTTGCTGCCGT